AAAAAAAAACCCAAAACCTAAACTAAACCCATCCGCCACCCCCTCTCTTCTTCTCCAAAAAACCTTCACCCCAAACCCTAGCCAACCATGGCTTGCTCACCCTCAAGCTCACTCCAAACAAACCCCGCTGTCATTGCTTTGTCTTCTTCGTCGCCAAGCCCAAGCTCAAGCTTCCATGGCGACTTTCTTCCCGGAACGACCCCACTGTCACTGTTTCGTTTTCTTCTTCGTCAAGCTCAAGCTCGAGCTCAACACCCATGGTTGCCGCTGCTTCTGCTACGTCCAAGCAGACCACACTTCTGCTACAACCGAGCAGACCACGCTTCTGCTTCTACTTCATCTTCTTCGTCTCCGTCGAACTCGAGCCCGAGCTCTCATGGCTGCTGCGTCNTCTGCTACGTCCAAGCAGACCACACTTCTGCTATGACCAAGCAGACCACGCTTCTGCGTCTGCTTCATCTTCTTCGTCTCCGTCGAACTCGAGCCCGAGCTCCCATGGCTGTTGCGTCACTACGTCTCCTGCTACGTCCAAACACACCCTGATGTTGCTGCCTCGTCGTCTTTGTTGCTGCCTCGACTGCTTCTGCTTTACCTCACGAGAACCAGTCCGGCAACCCCCCATTAAATTCGGCGACGTTCACTTTGTCATCGAACACTGCTGCTCGTCGAACATTCCTGCTCCTTCATCGAACACTTCTGCTTCCGCTACATCGCTGCTGCCATAGCCCGTTCAGCAGCTGCGTGGGGCTGCGACGCTGCTGCTTTGTCAAGCAGCTGGACTTACCATTTTCCGGCGCCTCCAGTTTAAAAACGAGACTCACCATTTCGCTTATTCAAGCTTTGGTCGGGGTTTGTCGAAATAGTCCATACACAGTTCGAGTTCGTTGTTGGTCAGTCGTTGTTCGTGTTTCCGATCCGGTTAGTGGGTTTGAGTTTCACTTTTGTCCATATTTTGTTTTTGATATTCTCGAATCTAAAATCGGTAAATGTTTGATTTTTGTTTTGTTCGTGTTCATTGTTTTGTTAATTTTTTTTTTCATTTTGTTCATGTGAAATTGTTAGTTTAATATCGTTTGATTCAAATTAAAATTTAATTAATTATTTCTTCAGTTTGTTTTGTGTGTTGTTATGTATTTTTTCAGAAATTGTTAATGTTGGTTAAATCATTTGAATCTGTCATGTTTGTTGTTTAAAATAGATTTAATTCATGTTCATCTTTGTTTGAAGTTCGTTTTTAATCCAGTGATTTAATATGAGTTTATGTTTTGGTTTTTGACTTGTTGATTTAGTTTGAATCTATTTGTTTGTTATGATCAATTTCTTATCTTTGTTAAATTTGAAAGTAGGATTATTGTTAAAAATTTGTTCAGTCAAAGTAATTCCTGCTTTTTTTTTGTTGTTCATGGTATGATTTCAGTTTGCATCATTTCCGTTAATTGTGATTCATGTTGTTTCAGTTTATTTTTGTTGTTGATGTTGTTGTCTCTTTGCTCATTCATTTTTGGTCTAAGTTAACCAGGATTGGTTCCCAATATGGTTAACTTATTCCCATTAATTTGAAGCTGTATGATTCAATCTGTGTTCATGAGATTTGTTGTTGAATTTGCTTAGAAATTGGTCATATTTGCTGTATTTTGGTTGAGGTTGATTAGGTGATTTGGTTATAGCTGATGGGGGTAGTTTGGTAAATTTTAGTATGTTCAGGGGTAAAATGGTAATTGCAGTAAGGTCGGAANTTGGTCGGGGTTTGTCGAAATAGTCCATACACAGTTCGAGTTCGTTGTTGGTCAGTCGTTGTTCATTTTTCCGATCCGGTTAGTGGGTTTGAGTTTCACTTTTGTCCATATTTTGTTTTTGATATTCTCGAATCTAAAATCGGTAAATGTTTGATTTTTGTTTTGTTCGTGTTCATTGTTTTGTTAATTTTTTTTTTCATTTTGTTCATGTGAAATTGTTAGTTTAATATCGTTTGATTCAAATTAAAATTTAATTAATTATTTCTTCAGTTTGTTTTGTGTGTTGTTATGTATTTTTTCAGAAATTGTTAATGTTGGTTAAATCATTTGAATCTGTCATGTTTGTTGTTTAAAATAGATTTAATTCATGTTCATCTTTGTTTGAAGTTCGTTTTTAATCCAGTGATTTAATATGAGTTTATGTTTTGGTTTTTGACTTGTTGATTTAGTTTGAATCTATTTGTTTGTTATGATCAATTTCTTATCTTTGTTAAATTTGAAAGTAGGATTATTGTTAAAAATTTGTTCAGTCAAAGTAATTCCTGCTTTTTTTTTGTTGTTCATGGTATGATTTCAGTTTGCATCATTTCCGTTAATTGTGATTCATGTTGTTTCAGTTTATTTTTGTTGTTGATGTTGTTGTCTCTTTGCTCATTCATTTTT